ATGTGTGTTCAGATTGTTCCAGATGGGTATTCTGGTCGAATTGAGACAAACGTCATGTTTCATGATCTTATTGAAAGTTTTAGGGGGAAATGATAGTTTCAGATTCCATTCAGTTGAAACTGTGATGAGAGTTATAAATGAATTGCAGAAATTTCAACAAACTTATAATTGAACAGGCTTGGAAGATTGAAAGCTTTTCCTTGATTGAGTGGATGGTTCACGTTCTCCGTCTGTGAGATGATGCGTTTGTTAAGCTCCAATAGCGAAGAAGGCTTTAACCTACTGGACATCAGATTCGTCCTCGGTGTTTGGTGAGATCCGAACGGTAAGGGGTCACATTCCACCAGTTGGAGGGACAGACAGCAGATTGAAGTAATATTAAGTTTAAGAATAACTGCTCCAGTGAGTCTAGGAATCTGGCCTGAAAGTGTTGGGTGAACCGTTTTATCACTATTGTGACTGAGATCGGCAGCTGCGACTATTAACCCTGTCGGCCATAAGTCGAAGGCAGCAGGGAAGTATACGCGTGAGTCTAGTTAAAGTAACCCGGAAAATCAGTCTTATTGATACGGAATTTTAAGAGCACGAAAAGGAGCGAACTCGTTGTATGCTGGAATGAAGGAAGGCAAATGACGCCACATGACAGAAGACGTCAGGAAGCCTGTTAGATAATGAAATTTCATTTTAGGGATTCAAACGTTGGAGAAAGAGAATGGGATATATGAAATATATGGCCGAGACGCTAAGGACATTCGAACTGAGGAAGAAACGAGAATATGTGCCTTTTCGAAGTCAACGAAGTTGAGGTAGGAAGAGTTCTGACTGCCATTCTATGCTTTGTTCTGTGATGGGGATGCATAGATTTGCATTTCGATCAGCACACCATTTGCCTTTCCTGAATCCAGCTTGTTCCGGTCTGGCGGAGTTCTGTATCCATTATATCCTTTATTCTATCCAGGATGATGCCACTCAGTATTTAGTTGGCATGAATAAGAGTATGATTCCACTCCATTTCTCGCATTGAGAGACGTAAGTCAGGCAGTTGCGTGTGTGCTATGGTGGTGGTGTATTTCTGAGCAAGTTGCAGGTGATGTTCAATCCAGGCCATTGTTTTATTTGTGTCTCCTCATTGGTAATCAAGTTCCCTGAGGCCTCTTTGATTGGTTTCGTCATCCTCGTTCACCTCTTTTACGGATAGAGACCTGGTGCCTATCCGATACAATGTCGTGAGGTCTCTTTTACCTGCACCCTGCCTGCCTGTTCAGCTTCTGTTGCCAGCCAATCTGTCGTAGAATTGTCTTTCGTCTCTCCTAGCACTCTTGTTGACTGCTTTATTCAGTGCAGTGAACATTGAACTCAGCTTCTCCTTCTGTTGTCAATCTTTGCATTGCATCATCTTCTCTTTCAAAATCCTCCTCTCCTCTCCTCAATTGACTTCCAGGCAGGTGTCCATCGACAGCCATTCTTCATCGTGTCTCTTCTTTCTTTCGAGAACAGTTGTACACGTTTCCTTGGATATCGCCATCAGAGAGTTAGTTCCAATGTTCTTCCACGCAGGTTTCCTCGGTGATGGCACGTGGTGTCTCTGACTTTGCTTTGATCTGATCTGTAGTGGAGGTGTCCATTGTGCTTTAGTCCCTCAGTTTCTGAATGATCAACTTGAAATACAGTGGCCTGTCTCAAGGATTTCATCTTCACCTTGAAGGCTGCTTGAACTAGATGATGGTCTGAGTCCACATATGCTCCCCTTCTCTACTATGTATCCAGGAAACTAGCTGCGTCTCCACTTGTTTGAGCTGGATTGAGACAAGATCTGTCTGGTTTGTGGTATGTCCTCCAGGCGAAATCCATGTTGCTATGTGTATATCGTTGTGTGAGTATCCGCTTTCTCCGATCACCAAATCACTGAAAGCGCAGAAGTCTGCGAATAATTCTCCACTCTCATTCATTTCTCCGAGCGAGAGCTTATCGACCCATGATGAGTTCTCTTCTTGTGGTGTTGTCGGCTGCTCCCAGACGGCTTGCATTCATATTGCCCATGAGGATTTTGATGTCACCGTTTGGAGTGTTGCACATTACCGTTTGTAGTTGTCTGTATCTATGTTTTTGTATATGTGTACGCCTCTGAATTTCTCTGTAGCTTTCTCTCTATGTCCCTTCTTTCAATGTCTGTGTCTCTTCTTTGAACTCGTTTTTATTTTTTTCGCTCTTTGTCACATCTTTGTCTTTGTTTCTTCTTTCCTGCACTTGCTTCTATCGCTTTCTTTCGTCATCTTAAATTCTCTGGGTTCCTCTTCCTTTACTTTACGCATAATTTACGTATAATGTCTGAAGCTGCTTGTCACGGTTTAATTGGAGGATGTACTGTGCACACAGACACAGTAGATAGAGGCGAAGGAGGATAAATATTCACATGACATAGTGCTTGATTGTAAATTAAGTAAACAAACTTTGTCACAATGAAGATGTGGTCAGGTTGAAGGTTGATAAGAGAGGAACTAGATCTTCTTTAGTTCTTAACCGGCCAAGAGTTGGATAATGGCTGTACGAACTTCTTTTCAATGCATAGTTTGGGATTAACAGTTGGACTGCTTGTCTCATCAGGCATATATATATATTAGACGAGTACGGAGTCGACTGAAAAAGTTGGTGGGATACTGTGAACCACCCTGAATGGTTTTGTCTTCTCCACTAAATGACCACTACCAAATACTTGTGACAGAATTGATCTACGGATGGTTTTGTCTGTCCTTTGCCGAACCACGATGGGAGATGTTCAGTGACTAGTTGACTAAGCTATCTAGTAGCTGTCTAGCCTAACATAACTGTCTACGTAGAAACAGATGAATTGATAAATACACACCTATGTGGCAAAATCACCTAGCTTATCCTCCATTTTCGTCCCAATCCTTCATCAACTACGGGATGGAGAACGTTGGTTTGCAATTAAAAGTGTTCTCTGAGCTGGTTGGTTTAGTCGCGAAGCTTTCGTCCTCCTTCCGGACAACATCTTCAGCGCCATATTTAGCACAAAGTGAAATGATTTAAATTTCTTCATGCGTGATGTAATTGCGTCTCCTGTTTACTATCTTCACATATGTATTGACCACTTTCTATTGACTAGGATTTTAAACTTTTTGGTCACCTGATTTACTTTTTATTAATTGGTATATTTCATCTATATTAACGTGTTTGTTAATCGCATTTTCGCGTGAGTACCAGGCTTCTAGGAATTCTCTGGCACTTTTCGTGTTTCCTCTGTTTAAGATTTTGACATGATCCCAATCAAACTGATGACCATAGTTGTCTGCATGCATTGATACTAAAGAATACATATCATGTCTTTTCACGGCTGATTTATGTTTGCTGCTTAAAATATTCTGAAAATACACCTGGTCAATCTCCGAGAGAAAATTTCACTTGAATAATCCCCGTTGAACTGTAACATGACAAATAATTGTTTCTTCTATGCCATCATAATCTCTGAATTCCTATCAAATCTGTTCATATGTTTCGTTGTGAAACTAGCCGGGTGATTCATCTTCGTCAAGGAAATATGAACACATTGAGACTCTTTTTGTGAGTGATCACCTGCACATATCTTCCTTGCTCTTCGCGTAAGAAGCTCAGCCACATTTCTTGTCGTTGGTATGCCTGGCTTATAAGACCAATGAGACGAGCATTAGACATACTGCAACTGACCAATATGGCTGGCATACATACTTGAACTACTGCAGCTAGGAGTGGCTTATCGAGGGATACTTTCAAATTAAAAAAAAGCGTTATACTGTACACAAGGAGCGAGAAGTCAGGAATACGTTGAACTACGTATAAGAAAACTCTAGAAGATCAGGACTTCGCAGACGATGTATGTCTGATATCAAAGAAACTCGAAGACTTAAAGGCATGCAAAAACTAACAAACTGGCTGAAGAGGGTGGCTGCCAGCGAAGAGAGGACTGCAGACGTACACAGAGAAGACGGAGATGATGAAGATGACCAGCCAACAGCGACACCAACGTCTAGCACCTACCATTCACAGAGGTTACCGCCTTCACTTATCTGGCCAGGTAGCATTGTTTCAACTACAGGCAGGAGGGATGGATGAAGATGTCGAAACCAGTTAGAATCGGAAAGGCAAGATAAGCCTCCATCAACCAGAAACCAGTTTGGAAATCACAATTCGCATTTTCAACGCCAATGTGAAGTCGGCCTTCTTCTCTACGGGTTAGAAACTTGCACTGCTTTTCACATAAACGATTTCCAACAGCCTACTGCAGATTTTCATCAACAGCTGCCTTGACTGGCTTCATGCTGAAGATCAAATGGCCATAAATAATAAGTAGCGAGAACCTGTGTAGGAACAAACCAGTGAAGAGTCGATTGCTCAACAAATATGTAGGAGAAAACGGAGATGTATTGATCAGGAATGTATTGAGCCAGGTCATTATTGTCCGAGTGGAATCCCGACGGGAAGCAGACTAGTGGGTCGTCCCAGGGTGATATGGAGGCAATGAAAGACTCTGGGCAGCCGTGGTCCAAGCTGAAATGGACGGTAGAAGATAGGACAAAGTGGAGATGTGTTGTCGAAGCCAGCTCTATATTTTATTTGGAACCCAAGAGAATAATAGCAAACAATAACCATATCTACAATCTATGCATTCAAACAAATAATACCGAGAAGTTATAACAGTCACTTACTGATTGCGCTGCACACAAAAGTGTATTAATTTTTTTCATTCTGAAGTAAGCAATTAACTGTGATCACACTGAGCCTTGTCGGTTTTTGACTCATCACTTCTACTGTCTCAAAAAAAAAATTTTTTTAAATTGTTTGTCTCTGTGTATGCGTTGGTGTGGTTTTCTGTTGTTTGTTTTCTTCTACTGAAGTATTTTAGTTGATTGGATTCAATAATCAATAATCTCAAATTTATTGTGACTTTAGTGCTGATAATCAGGATAGTTGAAGAGGAACAAATATAACACATAGCAGTAACAGAGCACAGAAGCTGTGCAATCACTACGCCAGCCTATACATACATACATACATGTATCACAAATAAACTACACGTCTGCATGTCTATTCATCACATATACATTAGGATAGAGAGATGAGTGACAGATAACTAGATAGTGCAAGCACCACTATGTATATATATATATATATATATATATGAAATAACGATTAAATATTTGACGCTGATTTGACGCATACACATCTACTCATTTCTGTTGCTTCTGTATAGCATCTGTTTTGTTAGGAAGAATAAGATTTTTACACCGAACTATGGCAGAATTTGACAAGAAGCAAATTTTCACTACACTCAGCTTAGTGCTACTTGTATGCCTTACTGCCACGGCAATCGGTGAGGATCGTACTCTGTCGGGTAAGTTTAAATGTTGAAATTACAAAAAAGTTTGCAATTTGTTTTACTCAATATACTTTGTTTTTGCTTTGTTTTTGTTTTTTGTCTTTTTTTTTGTTTTGCAAATCGCCTAAATTGTGAAAATAAATATTGGAAACTGTGAAGATTCAGTAGTATTCAGTTCATATTTTTGTATAGTCCAGAGATTCTAACTTTGAACCATAATGGTTTCAATGTACACATAGACAAAGTTTAAATTAGTGAGAGACGTTAGCACGGATGGAAATGCAGTTTGTGTACTAAACTGCCTTATCACAAATGAGACTGCAGTTATTCTGAGTAAACTAGTAATATATTGCAAACAACAAAAAAGAAAAACTTTAATCGAAGAAATATTTTAGAAAGTTTTGTGGATATAAACCGTCTTTGGGTAGTGACATAAGAACATATAGCGAATCAAACTTATATATATATATATATATATATATATATATATGTACGTTATCCTAACCACTTTAGTCCACATCTATTCCATCTGCTATTGCAGACTCCTAGCACTTCCATGCCATACTTTCTGATTTGTTTTGCCCAACTGAATAGCCTTGCCAGCTTCGTACATTGTACGAATATTCCACGTCCTTCTCCCCATGTCCCTATCGGATGGCTGTCTGAGTGACTGACTAACTGGCTTCCCGAAGGCTATCAGCAGTCTGAAGTGTCATTTCATCTGTCTGATTCCAGTGGAAAATAAGCTTGATTATTTTATATTTTTAATACGTTTTTTTTCTTGTGCTTTGAACTGTTTGTGTAGCAGTTTGATTGATTTTGCCGGAGTAGGGTCGTCAGCACCACTCCCGACTTTCTCTCTTCACTCTAACTGAGAACCGGTTAGAAAACTAGTGAGCTAGTAAACTAGGGTACAATAAAAATAATAATAGTAAATCCTCCCATATTTGACTATTTAACAAAAAAAAATGGGAAACACTGATTCCAATATCATATTTTATCGAATTATCGGTATTTTGAGTTCCCATGAAACACCCAACTCCCATAGTTATGTAGTCTGAGGAATTGTTACAGCCGAAAATTCACTAGTCAATCTAAAGGAAAAGGCATGAAATTTCAGTTGTCTTTTCTTTTTTAAAAAAAATTTGGGATATGTCAAGTAATCAATCGCCTGCTTGTACAAAGATAATTTGTTTTGGTCTAGCATGCAAGCTCTTTTCACAGGTTCTACTAAACTCATCAAACTTGCATTTCTATTTGGATTTTTGACTTTTGTGCAAAAAAATTTTCTTTTTTTTAAAATTTAGTCGAGAATCAGGGATCAGAGTGATTTGACATCTCTAACTGATGTCAGCTCATGATGAAATCCTCCATGCAATCAAACAAAATCCCTACAAAACCAAAACTTGAAGATGGATTTGCTTCATTCTAAAACAGTGCTTATGATAAATGGTGTGGAATTCTTGGTGTTTAGTACAACATTGAATATAAGTCATGCAGCAGCAACACTGATAATAACAATTGTTTTAGCATTAGCAGCGCAGAGAAATACACACAAAAATGTTCAAAGTGTGTAGAATAATTAATGTGTTGTTGGCTAAAATTATAATATCAATAAAATACTGTCACTATAAATTACAAATAAGAGAAGATGAAACAGTCAATTATTCTACTAATTACAATAGTAGCCTATAAGTTTCACAGTTAACACTATCTCTATCACATTAAAGTACGGAGCAGGTCAAATAGGGTACCGCTGAGTTATTTTTATACGAAGGGAGTGGGGCTGGCGGGTAGAGGAGAGTTGTGAAACGGGAGGCTGTTGACAGACAGTCGATCTGAATTTAAACCATTTCTCACCTACGAGTTGTTCAGGTGTCTGTCCACTACAAATTAGCAGGGAATATTTACAACCGTATCAATGACCATATCAAGTTGTACTGAAATCTACTCAGTGGACAACTCAATTGCAATAATCACCTGAGTCTTGTCCAATATATATAGACCAGAAAGTGAGTAGATGTGTTTTTTAGGCAACTCTGACAATTCAGTGTGTTGTGTCACTTAAGTCTTTTCGAATTATATACGTGAAACATGAAACTTGCAAGTTATGCATAGAACACTGTGGACACATTGAAAAAAATATTCCTCTCTCTCTCCTAACTGTCTTTTATTTTTGTTGAAAATGTGTAGTAATCAGCTGTGCAGAACATTAGGAAGTCAACTGGTTAAATGTCACAAGTGAGTTGATCAATGAGGTGTTCACGTACACACACACATACATTGAAGATTATTCTGATACACATTTCCACTAGGATATTTAATGAAGAAAAATCCCTAAGACACACGTAGCTCAGTCTCCTACATATTTAAACACTACACCACTGGGGAAAAGAAAAGACTGAAACTTCTCACAAACAGATACACACAACTGTGCACAGAAATACAACATTTCAACTTAAAATGCTCAGCAGACTTTAACTATAGTGTTATTTAGCCGCCAGAGCCAAAGAAACTATCCAAGATATATCAAAGATCCAGTTTTCAAAAGTTCAATTGCACTAAAACTATACATACATAAGTCTTAATATACAGTCAAAATTCCAATCTAATACATCTAAGAGTAAATTGAGTCACGAAAAGCATTTCCAACCGGTAACTGTTGACTTTTATTAACAATTGTCCCCTCTGACTTCATAATGACGATCAAATGTCTAAGGAGAATTAGCAGCATGAAATTCAGGGAGTGAAACAATCAAGATCCTTTCGTCCAACTGACAAATATTCCGACGAAAATGGCCATCACTCGAGTGGAAGATGGATGGGAAACGAACAGTTGGGCCTGATTCCAAGTATGACATGGAGGAGGTAAGAGACTGTGAGATATCTTTGCGTTAACTAAAGATGACCACAGAGAATAGGTATTGTTGAAAACCTATATTCCCCTTGGATGGAATTCAATTATGAATAATGATCAGTTCGTGTGTATTACCCAATGTCATCTTACTAAAAGTTAGTTTTTAACTGGAACCGGAAGATTTAGCTCTGATTCCTAGAGTTGTACCACTTTTTTCGCGAAGATTATGCTATTCATCTACGCAATGAATTAGATTTCAGTCAAGTTGAATACAACTCATAACTTCTTTAATTGAACGTCCTAACGAAATACCACTGTACTGCAATTACACAAACAATAACGCATCTTCTTTCGTAGTAGTGCTATTTGCTACAGTTATTTCACTTTATTTGTTTTGTTTTGTTTTGTTCTGAATTTTTTTTTCGTTTGCTCTCTCCCTTAAGCCCAATACAAACCGGGTACTTTGAAAGGAGCTCACGCGTTCTACTTTCTGGCATTATTCGCCTTCATAGCTGCACTTATAATACACTTATTATATGTTTTAAAATTCGAAGTTCAGATATTAAAGTATGTTTATCTTGGATTAATTGTGACTGGACGTAAGTTGCTTTTTTTTCCCATAAAACTTGTGCCTAAAAACTTTTCGTTTACATGATTTGATTGAATCACTGGACAAACACTTGGCGCCAAGTTTAAAGTAGACATGTGTACGCGTTAGAGCGAGTTATTTATTTCAATTTCGCTGTGACTGAACGCCTGATATTCAGTTAGATGTACACTTAGTGCCTCATTAATCACCAGTTTACTTCAATAGGAGCAGATCCCTTCTTCTAACACACATCTGTACCCAAGCATACGGGCGGGGGGGGGGGGGGGGAAGGGGAGATCACACCTCAGAAGTGAAAATAACGAAAACACCTGAATAAATTCACAGTAAAGCACTGAAACAAAGTGAATTTTTTGCATGGATAAGACTGAAAATTCAGACGAGCATACCATGTAATCCATTAATAGTACCACAGATGAATTTCAAACTCAGTTTGGTAAAGTGTTTCGTTTACAGGGCTAGAGTAATCTGTTCTAATGTCTGTCTCAATAAGGTAATCAAAACTATTAGAAAATGGATATCTGGAGAAGTTAATTGGCATAAAAAGTGAATTTGCTATCAAGGCAAGCTAGTATGTCAACAATTTAAAAGGGACGCGTTGTTTAATGAAACTACGTGAAAACATAAGTGAAGCAGCATGACAGAGACCAAAAATAATATTCATTTCAACAGAGATACATTGTTTTTTCACAAGAAAAGAAAAGAGAGACGGTAAGGAGGCGTTTACGTGCAATTCAATATACACATGTAGAGAAATTACCTATACCTTATATTAAAGTCGTCACTAGCATAGATCTACAGCGTTGTGCTACTTCTGCCCCTCGCAATGTGTTTCACTTCGATAAAGGTTCATTTTCACTCTTTGACGATGAATCTACCTCTCGGCTATTTGATTTATTTGTGCTGATGAACGTCTCTTTATATTACTACTGATAAATACTGTCAGTAGCACAACTCATATATATATATATATATATATATATATATACATATATATACATATATTCAGTATGCTGTCGATATATACAAGATAACCTTTAATTACTGCTAATAATAATGATAATAACTTGCTCTCTTCCATAAACAGTGCTTATGATACAGTGTGGAGTTTTCAGCATTTGATACAATACCGCATATAATTTACTCAACAACAACAGAAGAAGTACACAACAGGATACACTTAACTAAAAGTCATAACGACAGCAACTTTTAGCATTAGCCTGAAAAGGTTTCATGCCTAACACTATCTCCATCGCATAGGAGGTGGGTGGGCCAAGTACGGCATCTTTGAGTTTCTCTACTTAGTTGTACGAGTGAGCATACAATCTTTTATCATGACTTCTTGTGTTACCTGATGAGATGCAAGAGTGAGTAGGGGGCAAAGTTGGTGAATAGACGGGGGTGTTGAGAGTCAGACAATATGGATTTAGACCATTTCTCACATGGGACTGTTCAGGTGTCTGTCGACTACAGGTGGTAACAAGCTGACTAAGTAGTGGCACACAACTCAGCCTACTTACAACCTTTAGTTAGGGCAGCCTCATTTCTTTAATAGTCAGGTTCCCTTTTGTTATCTTGTATCGCTGACTAGCATTGATTAACTACTTCTTTTGCCTGCTTTCTTTCTAGTTTTTTGTGCAGTACTCAGTGTTATTCTGTACTATCAAGCATTCTCTAAATATCGTACAGCTAAACCGGAGTCGAATTCATGGTTGATTGCAGCTATAATGGCTTCCTTCCAGTTGAGTGTGTTCGTATTTATGTATCACTTAAAGTAGACGTACAAGTGACTGACTGATTGATCGATTGACTGACTGACTGACTGATGATACATTCACTCACTCACTCACTCGCTCATTCATTCGTTCACTCATCAAACAATATGAACAAAATCCATGACAGTGATCATAGTCATAAACACATTTGAGCAGAATTCATCTTATTTTCTTAATTGTGTCATTTGTTTAAATTGACAAGACAGTTTTGTTTTGTTTGTTTTTTTGTTTTGTTTTTGGCAAATATACTCTTAAATGATTCTCCGTTGTTCTGTCTTCTTCGAAGATTGTATAATGTTGAACATCTTTGAGTTTTCGTATATTAGGAAGTTGAGCAGAGAATATCCTTTGCGATGATTTCCTCCTCTTCTGGCTCTACAATTATATATATATACATATGTGTATATAGGCCATGCAGTTAGGCGTGTTTCTCGTCGGATTTTCGAACATAACCCTGCTTGATTAAGAAAAGGACAAACAAAATCTATTCGTGGCGCTATTGTATCTCATCTTGTGGATAAAGCACACAAGCTTTCAAAGTCATTCATCGCATACCAACAAATCTCATTTTCGCCTTAAGAGTTCGATTACCAAATATTGCTGAGGCTGTTGACATCCACATTAGGAAGCCTAATTTATGTGTCCAAAAGCATCTGGTTCAAACACTGTCCTTACCTTGGCCATCTAGGTTCGAATGATCCTCAATTTTCTGTAGAAATTTCCCTAATTTTAGTTGATATTCTATTTGCTGTTACATATTTATTATTATTATTATTATTATTATTATTATTATAATTTGAGCATCTTTAATGAACTGTAATTCCATTGATCTTACTTTACAACACTAATATTGTTACTGACTACTATTCTACAATATTCTATGTATATAAACATTTATATAAATGTAGCGCCAGAAGAGGAGGAAATTATCGAAAGGGATATTCTTTGCTCAATTATTTTGTGTATTGTCATATGATAATAATAATAATGTCTTTATGCTGAACAATGTTTGTATGATGTACAGAATTGTCAACGGAGATTTCAGTCCAGGATCTTCAAATAAAAGACTTGACCGACTGACAGTAGATCGTGTGACACAGTTCTGTCTGACCTTAGGCACAAACTAATCCATTCTTATGATATATCTTCCTTTTCCTCCTTCTAGTAATACACAGCGACATTTTGTTGAATACCGATTACTGTAAACATTTCAGGAGTACATTTCTGTGAAACAAGGATACCGCTGAAGAATGATCATCATCATCATATACTGGGATAAACTACTATCCAACCGGATAGTGCTTTTTCTCATGCTTAGTAGACACTTACAAATCAGCAGGCTGCAAATGTTTTAAATACTCGCCAGAGTAAACAATACTATTAGAGGTAGTAGATTTAAACAAATTGAATAAGAGGGAATATATGCAATATATTGATGGTGGTTAGCTTCGGTATTCCTAGTTTTAAGCAGGCCGCCGTCCTATGCTAAGGCACGTGAGTTTCATACCTTTCTTGCAGAATCATATTATCAGGATGCCCATATATCTATCTCACCTGGATGTCGTTGTACATTTTGTCAAGCTTCACAGTAATATTAAGCAACACATTTTAGAAAAAATCACAATAACATTTATACAGAAATTTATGAAATGTCTGTCGATACACCATTGTTTTGAATAGAGTTCATTTGGAATAGTTTGCTACCTGTAGTTGCTTTATTTTTCTGATTTGTTTTTCTAACATAAACTGAATTATGTCTCCATTTCGATTGGAATTAACCAATATGTTGCTAGGTGGTTATTCAAATACATTAGAATACATATGTCTTTCGAATACTGATTTGCTCGTTATCCTATGTCCTTGCAATGACTTAGCAACATTTCGTTTACAGAGAGTCAAAGGCAGTTCAGACTGACTGTCGATAACACCCTGCTAAGTCATCATTTAAAAGATACAGGATAATTAGGACTGAACCTGTATTCGGATACATTCGTTCTTTACTGCATTCGATGGATAGTCTGGCAACATGTCAGTGAATTTCAGTCGACATTTCAGAGAAGAGAATTTTCTCTATCACAATGAAATTACCTTCAAAAGCTGCACGATCGTGTTTTATATCTACAAAGGTCCATAGAGTAGTAGTCTATGATCAAGTAATACGGTTGGTGTGGAGCGGAGGTGATCGTACTACTCATATAAAGTTACTCAGAAGTAATTTTCAAATAAACAGTTATACTTTTCAAGAGTTGATCTGTAAGGATTAGATTTGTTTTTCGAGAATGACCATGGATTGATATCAGTTAATGAACCATTGAAAACCAGAGGGTACTGGACAGCTGTGTCACTCCAGTTTGGATCTGATGGAAAGTACGCACCCACTGAGTTTCGAATCAAAGACCTTCCGGGTGACAAGGCAAGCTCCTATACCATTCAGTCACTGAGACCCAGTTCTATGGCACATGATTTCTAACTTCTATCAATTGGTGATATTTAGCGTGACCACTATCCAGTGTCATCGGCGAGAAATCCATCCTCACCCTAGTGAGAAGTCGTGACCAGAGAAGTGCATCCAGTCGCGAATGAGGATGAATCGGCTGGTGATCGTGCTAAAATCATGAATTATTATTATATTATTATTGAATTAACTCGACAACAGCTAACACAAAAATAAAGTTACAAGATGGGAAATGTGAGCGTTTTTGGTATTCACAGTGACAATAAAGTCAGAAATGTACAAAAAGTGTAAAACAATGATGATGCTAATAATGTTAACAGCTAAAACTAGAATATAATTGAAATAGTGTCACCATTGATCAAAAAAGTAGGAAAGGGTGTAAAAGATTGGCTTTTTTCGTTAATTACCCAGCAAGTTATAAGTTTCATGCTTAACACTATCTCCGTCGCATTGGAGGTGGGTGGGCCGAGTGCGGCATCTTTGAGTTTCTCTACTTAGTTGTACGAGTGAGCACACAATCTTTTATCATGACATCTAGTGTTACCTGATGAGATGTAAGAGTGAGGAGGGGGCAAAGTTGGTGAATAGACGCGGGGGTGTTGAGAGTCAGACAATATGGATTTAGACCATTTCTCACATGCGCTCTTCAAGTGTCTGTCGACTACGAGCCGACTTAGTGGTGGCATACAATTTGCCTTACCGACAACCTTTAATACCCTTCGCCTCAATATGACTCGGTCCTCTTTGAGTAACCCATTGAAGACCATGTGGCGGCAGCAATAACCGGCAATAGGTAAGATGCAAGAGTTAACAAACTGTCAGAACAGAGAGGTTGACTGATACCCACCCACCTGACTAGCAGTCTTAACTTCCTAATGTAGTAGGTTGGCTGGAACATTTCCTTAGAAATCGACAAGATATGAGATGAAGAAGAAAGATCAGAGGGTGGAACTACTCCAAGGTATTTTATGCTTGACTCAGTTTGTATATCAGTGCCTACTATGCTGAAAGCATTTTATGTGAACGGACCAGTTCTTGTAGGCCACGTTTATGCCTAAAGGTGAATTTAATTGTCTGACATTTGTAGGGATTTGATGTGAGACTGTTCACCTTAGACCACTGGCTTATGTCCGAGAAGAAGTTACTCGGTTTTAGAACAGTGAGATCAGAAGGTAACAGGCAACGGGACAATCAGATCACCAGGGTATTCCACAAAGTTAATTTGGCAAAGTTCAACAATAGCGTCCCAAGGGATGCGAACGCACGAGTGACCTTCAACCGACCAATCATAAAAACAAGTGACTTTTGCAAAAGAAAAAATGGCGTATATTTACAAGAAAATGCATGAAAACACACTAAACAGGTTACAAATACGTCCTAGTTATAATGAGAAATATCAGTTGCTAAGTTAGACTAGTTTCTGTAGATGTACTCACCGAAGTGAATTATTTATTAATCTTATCCTGTTGTGCAGTCTTCGCCAAAAGCCCTCGGTTGTAATACTATGGTTTCCAGTAAGAGGATCGACAACTGCTTACCAGAAAAATGTGGATAAGAAAACAAATTAAAATAAATGAAATCAACTCTCAATCTATCCCTAGTCGTAACCCTAATCTTAATCCTTACCCTAACCTTAAACTTAATACTAACCCTAACGAACTATTAGCACATTACTCAAACAGTACTTAAATGTGTTGCTTAGTTGGTGAATAGCGTTGATATTTCAGCTATGATAATGACAGGTGTCGTCAGCCAATGTCTAGCATGCGTTCAAGGCCACTGGAGCGTTCTCGCTCCTGGGACGCTATTGTTGAAATTCGCCATTAAGTTCTTTCGAATGAGGCAAGTGATTTAAGAAGAGAGAAAAAGAGGAGGAAAGAGAGAGTACAGCACTTTGAGTGACTCCAGCTGCAGTGAGCAAGGCAGAGGATGATTAGCTTTTGTATACCGTATACTGCATTCTATCAGAGAAATAAGACTACAGCCGGTTATGAGCCCAAGATTCAGTTTGTGCGAGGGGACCTATTTCACAGAAAGTAGAGAGTCAAAAGCAGATGTATAATCAAGGAAAGTAAACTGAAAATATTTGACCCCTTCTTCTAAAGCGGAAATAGTAGTATGGTATAAGAAAGCAGCAGGACCTAAAATACTTCCGCCCAGTTCATAGGCAAACTGTTTCGGGTCATTAAAACCTTTTCAGAAGGGTTCAGGATTGAGTAAAATAATTTCTCAACTAATTTCAAAAAAGAAGAGGTGATTAATGCAAGAGCATGATTTGGGTAATGGGATAATTCCATTGTGTCTCCATGCAGCATGGATAAAATTACTGGGAAAGGAAGCATTGAAACTGTTTGCAAGAAGTAAACATAAAATATCAGCACATATTCTGAGGACAACGCCAAGCACACAATCAAGACCAAGGCTTTTAGAAAAAATTTTAGAGATTTCAGATATCTAAGAACATCAACATTGTTCAAACTATGAAAGTCACACACTTTATTACTTGTAGCATCAGCAATCAAAATGTCAGTACGAGGGCACATCAAACATCTGCTAAGAGTAATTGCATCGAAAGACGGAACAACTAATACTTTGATTACCACTGCCAGCGATTTCACTAAAACGTTTACATACGTTGAAGGGAGTTAGTCCTTTTTAGACCAGATTTACCTGCACACTTCTATAAACGTTGTTTTTCTCTACGTAGTTTTCAGATAAGCGTAAGAGAAATGTTCAAGTCTTTTGAATAGTGTCTGTTTCAGGTAACATCGGATCGATTGACAAAAGCAGAAGTCAACGATTAGGAAAGAT